TTTTTTTTACGAAAATTCTCAAAAGTGGAACGTTTTCAATTTGGAGATCGGCAAACTTTGTATATTTAATTAGGTACTAAAAACTCTTGAACAAACATTTGTTTTCCACTTAAATTGTTAGATCATTGGATTAAAAATTCGATAAAAAAATGGTGCCTAACAACCTATATAATAACCCAATTCTTTTTCTGCTAATGGTACAAGCTTCTTAAAAAGGATGTCGAAGAGCTCTTTATATGCAGAGAAGAGAAGGACTACTCCTCAATATGCATAATATATGCTTGTTGGGCATAATATGCACAAAAATAATTATTTTTTTCATCATGAAGCTATCATGATGGTTGCAAATTTTGGGCAAATGTGCAACATAAAAAGTTGCTAACAGATTCAGAACGACTTGTTTCATTAAGATATATTTTTGCAAAAATGATGTAAACAAAGATATATTTGTGCCTGCAAAGATATATCGCATACATATGCAAAGGGATATTTACTGAGCCTTAGTAATGTTAAAATGTTCCAGTACGCAATGCGTAAGTCATTATGGCGGTTCAAGGGTCGTTTCCGATGAGACGATCCTACTGATATACTTTGTAAAGGTTTCATGATTGGCTTAATTAAGAGAATTGTGTTAATCAGCCTACGTTTTCCGAGTCAGATAGAGAATCTACCTTCTCAGATCCACCTGACATCGTCCTCCATCCGGAGTAGATATCTAGGGTAGGATTGTAAGCGAGGGGTGAATGTAGATTGTAGCAGTATATCGCGCTGTATACGGAGTGCTTTTAGGGTGTCAGAATTATTGTTTTCCCAACTAAAAGTATCAGTGGCTAATTATTGTCCAACGACTTGGCGATGGGATCGCCACTTCACTACTATGAACAATTACAACTAATCCAGAAATATGGTTTGAAAAAGGATAACATAGGTTTGGAATATGGGCCAAATCTGTCCTAAAAAGGCCTGTAATTTAGCGGTTACAACGGAGGCAATACCAATCTTGGTTGCTTATAAGATAACTACCAATATCATGCTAAAGTGAATACATACATATTATAAAAAAAATATTAGATAATTACTAAACAGGATTTTGAAGATGAGAGAGTACATAACAGCTGTTCTAATAAGTAGAAGCTCAGGATGTGCTCGTCTTATTTGTCACTTTCTAAGCGGTCTATGATCGCGTAAACAGAGACTGTCTTTGGAAAATCATGACTGAATCAGAGATTCACTAGCGGATCCAGAATTTAAGTGTTTTTTTGGGGGGGAGGGTTGGGGAAGGGAGGGGGTTGGCTTTAGCCCGAAAGGCTTTATATAAGTATACATATATAAACATGTATACGATTATTATTTTGGAATAAGAAGCAATAAACTTACTATCTATATGAAATGGTGTTTAACTGATTCCTGAAGTGCTATTAAATCTAATAACACGGACAATAGTACTTTTAGGGATAATTGTTTAGTATATCTTTCATAACACATGGTTATGTTTCACCATTTTTTTGGGAGAGAGAGGGGGCTTCAGCCTGAAAGTCCCCCCTCCCATTCTCTCGGAAATCCGCCTGTGCAGGGAGTTCCTGAGAAATTGGTGAGATTGGCAATAGTGTCGAGTCCTAACAAGGGGAAGTATAGAGCAATAACAATTTTCAAACGTCGTATGCCAATGCCTCCATTCCTCCTCGATGAGCCGCCCTCGATGAGTCAAGGTAACGATTCGAAACAGGCAGGTCGAAGGAATTTTTTCATTGTAATGGGAGTAAACCTAAACTGCGTTTTATATTTAACTTTTAATAGTCTTTAACGTGAACGATACTTCATGTTTGTATGCATTTAACTAAATAAAATTGTAATGAAAACTATAGAATTCTATAGTAGCTTTTATATAGTTAAGACACAACAGGGTAATATGGGTAAGGCTGCCCACAAGGAGGTTTCATATCGAAAGATGCCCCATTAATATTTTTGAGAGTACATTTTGACGGGGTTTTGATTTTTTTTAGGAAGCAAATTTCGACGAGGTCATGAATTTTCGAAATGAAAAGTTTTAAACCAGGGAATAAAAGCAAAGCAAAGAACAGACCACTGAAAGTGTCATTGCGTATCACTTATTATTTTTAAAAGTCTATTTTCCTGTTTTTGAGAAGATAAGAGAATTACAGCAACTTTTCCCTTAAAATCGGCTAACCGGAAGTGCCACATTATATCAACCGTTATATACATTTTTACAATTTTCTCCAAAACGGCTCTAACGATTTTGATTAAAACACCGAGTTTAATTGTGATTGTATAATTAAGTGGTCTTTTATATCATTTAGGTCTTATCTTATCTTATATTAAATGCCCAATGTTTAACATTTCTTCCTCTAAAGTACATTTAATTTTGGTTTATTTTAAATAATTAACTATCTCTCACTATTAGAAGTTACGAAAAAATGCTAAATGTAACTTTTGAAAGAATTCGATGATCGAAAAAAGAGAAAATTTTTATTTATGTTGAAAATGTATATCCGGAAATAATAGTTAGAAGGAATTCGTATCATATATCATTGGAAAGCAAAGATTTTTTAGAAAAACACAATATCTAACATAGAAAAGCGTAGAAAGTAATAGAGAGTGACAAAAAATTATGAATAATAATTAGTGAAAACTAATATTATTTAACGGAAATCATATGTTTCTGAGGAAATTAAAGGAAATGTTCTTACCAAATGTAAACTTTTAAAATTATTTCTAAGTTTGATAAATAGTTTATAAAATCCACTGAATCAAGGCAATGACATTAGTAAAATACTATTTCATTGTACTTGTGTGAAAGAAAAAGTGAAATATAAATATTTCATCGATGTATAAAGCATGTTTATAACTTTAAATAAATTTACTGTTGTTTAATAATTCCAGATCTGATATATTTAAATAATTAAGTTTCCACGTCCGTTTATTCCGAAAAACTGTCATTTAACCTTTTAGAAAATTAAATTAGTGAATAATTTGATGAATTTTCTTTATGTGAAATCCCAACATTATCCACTTTCAATTAGTGTGACAACTTTTGACCTTTCAATGGCCGGCAATGAAAATCTCGTAATTTAATTTTAGTAAACTTTACAATGGAAAATAACAGTTTAATAACTAATAGGCCTAAAATCCATAATCTTTTATAGGTTGAATATACAGATATACTTTTAAATCTCTCTAGGCATATTTATATATAGCTCAGAGACTGGAGGAGTTATGTGGTTTAAAAAAACGGATGGATTAACGAGATTTTTATTGCCTACCGCGGATATAATTAATAGGGTTTTTGTTATTTTAATGACTTGTTAGCTGTAAGCTTTAAGCTATATTTTCGTTAAAATTGCTCTTGAAAAAATGTATAATAGCCCGACATTGCCAGAAAATAATTTCTATTCAAAGTAGAACGGTAGGTGAAAGTTGTATGTTGCGCAACGAATTTTTTTTTTGAACAAGTTGGCTTATTGAAAAGTATTTGAAGTTAATTTCTAACGGAGTTAAACTATAAACCTTAAAACTATCCTGTATAAACTTATTAAGCTCTTAAAAATAATACAAACCCTATTTATTATATCGATGGTAGTCAATAAAAATCTCATAACTCCATCCACAGGCGGATTTACGAGAGGGGAGCTTTCGGGCTGAAGCCCTCCCCCCTCCCCTCCCCAAATGGTAAAATATAACCATGTTTTATAGAAAGAAATATTAAACATTATCTCAAACTATTATTGTTCGTTCTTCAATAATAGGACTTCAAGCATCACTTTAACTCCATGTCATATAGGTATTTAGTTTCATTTTTTTTTCAAATTAATTATCGTTATATATATAAAAAAAAAATTTCAGACTGAAACGCCCCCCACCTAAAAAAAAAAATTAAATCCTGAATCCGCTAGTGATTCCAAAAATGTAAATTCATCAAATTATTCACTAATTGAATTTTATATAATGCATACATAATGATTTATTAGAATAAACCAAAGATATTTTTCTAAAATATTATTTTTTATAAAAACTTCATCTTTCCAAATTTATACTATAGAATCATTTTTCAACTTGAAGAATCATTTTTCCTTTTCTACTCCTTAAATTAATTATCAAATTCTTTCAAAATTTATGTTCAGCCATTTTTTTATTACTACTGAGAAAGAGAGGAAGAAATTTAGAATATCAAACATCTAAGCTCCCTCTCCCTGGATGGTGGAAATAAGTTCCTCCAAAAAACAGCTGTTTAAAAATCAGATAAATATAGGAGAATATACTCAAAGACGAATTTTTTAATATGATGTAAAAAAATATATTATCGTGACTAACACCAGCAGATGCAGCCGCGAAAGGTGGAAGGAAGGCGACCCTACCCTTCCTGAATGGCAAAACAAAGGTAATTGGAAAGAGAAATATACTGAGAATTCATCCTCATTGACGACATTTCTAATGTGATATAAAAAAAGTTATTATCTCGACCAGCACTGGTAGATCCAGTCGGGGAGCGCGATGTCAGTAGCAACAAATTCTTATTCTTTCGAACAAGTTTTTATTCGTGCACAAGAAAATACTGTTTTTAGTTTTTCTTCAGATTATAACCTACAGCAACTATAGTCTCGTTGATGAATCCATGCTATTCATTTAACTGTTCCGGTTAATAATTTGTATATTTCTCATTAGAATTTGTTTAAAAAATACTCTATGTGCTTTCTTTTCTTTAAATAGCTGCTGTTGGGAACTTTTTCATGAAGGAAGGTACTAATTATTTGGTCTTCAAACAATGATGACCTTTATATTGGTGATAATAGAATAGGTCTCAAGTATTTCTGCCATTAGGCTCTCCAGCAGTATATTAACTCTATGTCTTCCGCCGTTAATAAATGACATAGAGGTCACAAGGAAAGGAGGTCACAGAGAGGAAGAAAGAAGTGACCAAGATCACCACTGTTTATAAATATCGATAGTGAAAAATTCACCTTATCTGTTATCACAACACCGCTGTTTTGGAGCGTGATTTCCCCCCACAGTTACAACTTATCATGGAATGACGGTGATGACATTGTAGGATTACGAAATTCAAATCTAATCTAAATCAGCATCTCTCTGAAAGAAGTGGAAGTCAAAACTGGTTGGAACTTAGTTATTTTTCAACATTAATTTCAGACCCTTTTTTAAAATCAAAATGTCTCAGTTGTAAGTACTATATATATATACAAATTATATAGTAGTAGAATATAGTTAACTGTAAATCATTCAGTAAAAGCTGATTGGGGGTATAAATCATCTTCTGTTTTGTGCACTTACTGGATTATTTGTGTTTTTGCCTTTGAAATTGCACATAAATTTGTGTAGAATGGTTTTGTAAACATTAATTATTGCTTTGTTAAATTTTTTTTACTTACCATCTCATACATTGCCTTTTTAGCTTATACATTATTTTCTCTCTACCTTGATAAAAACTTCAAGAGTTAATTTTGATGAACCTATCTTGAAATAACCACATTTTTCAAATGTAATACAAATTCATCATTATCCTTGAACAAATTTTATAATATTTTTTTGCAAATCCGACAAGGGTGCCCTATATTTTTGTCACCTGAGAGGTATCCTAAATCGTTGCCATCCAAGGAGTGGAGTATCCTTTAGTGCAGTGGATGATTTGCACTATTTTGGGATATTAACAACAAAATTTACTATTATCCTCAATGTTTTTTTTGTAATTTAATAATGTAACTACTTTGTTCAAGCTGATAAATAAATTTCACACTAGTTCAGGAAAAACAGCATGAAGGTGAACAGTATCTTAAAGTTAGTTACGATTAACTTACCTGTCATTTAACTGGTTGTACGCCCTTAATCAGTTTATATGAGGTTTAGCCTACATTAAGTCTTTTATACATACTACACAGGTGTGAAAAAAAAAATAGTAATAGATTAAAAGCTTAAATTGATATGTGATAGAATGGTATTTCACGATATATATTTTTTCTTATTGATAATTTCTATTATCCAGTGTCACGGCACTTTTAGATATTCTTCATCTTCTGTGGTCCCCTTTGCATTCATTCCTTAAAGAGAAGAATCAAATAATAAAAGTGAGAAGTCAATTCAGCAAGTCTGAGTAAAAAGAAATGAATTCAAAATTGTCTAACTTTTCCTCATGAATTTTCCTGTTTCCAACTTTCAGAAAGGTCTTTAATTTGAACATCGTTTTCCAAACATAATTTAATGAACAATAAAATAATTATTTTTTTAAAAAACATATAGCGTTAATATGGAAACAAATTAACATTGTTAAGTAATTATACTGCTAAAGAATTAAAAAAAAATAATATTTAGGCTGTACATATGCACCTTTAAATGGAATAATTGTTCTAAATCAGTTTAGAAAAATCTAAACATGTTTAGGTTTGTGGTTTTTTTCAATGCTACTTTGTAAGTATGATCCACTCTGGTGGGTGGACTCACATTCTCATGATAACACCATAAATAGAAATCTAAGAATGGCTCAATGTTGAAAGGTGACCGAACCGTTTAGGGAAATTCGAACCTCAACTGAAAAGTTTGGGACCATATGAGTATGGTTCGTGTAATCCTTTCAAGGAAGCAGAAGTTGAAACCGCCGATGTACTTAAAGCTAGTTAAGATCCCAATTTTATCTGTAAAGGGAGTTTATGTTAGTCATAAACTGTGTTATAAAGAAAGAGAGGTTATACTCGTGAACCCATTGCCAATATTTGGCTATTCTTCTGATTCCATACATAGTGTGATTATAAGATCTTGACCCCTCCCATCAAAGTGGAGTAACACTTGTAAAGTAGTACCATTCTTATTTCTGGAGCACCAACAGTAAAAGTCCTAATCGATTTTTTTTCCTTTCAGCCATAAGTTTTCCGTTTTGAAAGTCTCCCATGAAATGTTCAGGTTAGAAAATCGCTTAAGAAAAATCAAAGTTATATTAGGAATATACTAGTGAGAAAAACATTCAGTGTAATTTATCACAAGACAAAAATAAAACTGAATTGGGTGTGAAAAATTGAATCAGATGAAATATAGCTAAAATAAATAACAAATATCCTGGGTTGAATACATCTCGTCCTCCGTATTAAATTTTTCCTATTCTGCCATGGATGTGTATAAAATTTGTTTATGCTTCCTTCATGATCAAATTTCTTGTTCATATGTAAATTAAAATTATTTGTGAAATAAATTTAATATTGTTTTTAACATAAATATTAATGAAAGACTTAATAAAAGAAACTTGGAAACACTAAATTGAATGTTATTATGTCCATCTTCTACCTTAATTTTCAAAATTTATATTAAATTTGTATATTAATATTATATGATATTTCCAGGGCAGATATTGGTATGATTGGATTAGCTGTAATGGGACAAAATCTGATCCTTAATATGAATGACCATGGCTTTGTTGTTTGTGTTTACAATCGTACTACAGATAAAGTTGATAGTTTTCTCAATAATGAGGCAAAAGGTAAATATTAATCATGTATAATAAACATGTTTTGATTTCCAAATACTGATTTTCAGTCAATAAATCATATCTCTTTCTGAATATAGGGACAAAAGTCATAGGTGCACATTCGATTGATGAATTAGTTTCAAAACTAAAAACTCCAAAACGAATAATGATGCTTGTTAAAGGTATGTATGTACAAGGTTCAAATATCAATACAAATTTATTTTTCTTGTTTTTTTATTTTTAATTTTAATTTAAAAATACCGAAACAATTTATTTTTAGTCACTAATGTCATTGCAATTAAATTACGACGCTATATTGTGTATGAAAAACTTCACTCCTTCGTCATCAAAACACTGATGCTAGTACTTGGACTATGCTTGAAGCATTTAAGATAGTTATCTCCAAACTATCAGCAGATAGTTTAGCTCTAGAGGAAACCTAGAATCTATGTCTTCACCAAGTGTGATTTCTGCCTCTTGGTGAAGTTAGAGAAATATCATTGCAAAAAATGTGTGTGTGGAAAGTAGTAATGGGGCCAGCTTACCATGGGACCCAACTAGGAGGCAGGAAGCCACTGACACATGCATTAATGAGTGGCCATTATATAGAAAGTTAAAGTGAATAAAGGTGGCCTTCCTGGACCAAAGGAAGACTAACAGCAGGTTATAAATTTATTGGATACACTTAGTAATTCCACAATACGTTATATCTGCCAAAATATATAGTTAAGAAAATAAAGTGTAGAAATAGTTTTAATTTGAATGTTTTGAAAAAATATGAGAATAATAAAAAATTGCTGGATGTTGACTATTAGCAGATTAAAATTTATTTTCATAGAGGAAATATTCAATTCTTAGATCGAAACTAGATTAAAAGAAACAATTGAGGAGGAAGCATTTTTCAATAAAGTTTATAAGCTGAGATTAGGCTATATTTCGGAGAATTTTGAGACATAAGCTATATAATCGAACATATTTAATTAGAAATAATAGCTTTTATTTATTGGGGAGAACAGTTTTCCCCAAATGAAGGAAAAAAAAAAAATTTTTTTTTAGATTACTGGTTGTCTTTTCTAATCTCTCCCTCTCTCTCTCTCTTTGTACATATATTATATTGATTCTTTTTTGTTCAAATGTTTATTAAGGAAGGTTTGTTCCTATTTCAGCTGGACCAGCTGTAGATGCTTTTATAGAAGCACTTCTTCCTCATCTCTCTCCAGGTGACATTATTATAGATGGTGGAAATTCTGAATATAAAGATACAGATAGACGCATTGCTAGAGTTTCTGAGGCAGGAGTGTGTTTTGTCGGGACTGGTGTTAGTGGAGGGGAAGAAGGTGCTAGAACTGGACCAAGTCTTATGCCAGGTGGAGAACCAGCTGCTTGGCCTCACATTCGACCTATTTTTACTGTTAGTTAGCAGTACTCTTATGTATTTAAAATAAAATTGCATATTCATATATTTTTTATTTTATTGAAAGTAATGCAATAATTTAATGTTCACAGTCTATCTGTGCTTTTGCGGATGGTGACCCTTGCTGTGATTGGGTTGGTACTGGTGGCTCTGGTCACTTTGTTAAAATGGTTCATAATGGAATAGAATATGGTGACATGCAGATAATATGCGAGGCATATCATCTCATGAAAGATGCTCTTCACCTATCTAATTTGGAAATGTCTCAGGTAAAACATTGTTAAATTTTTTTAATTTTAGTTTTGTACTGGATGGCTTTGAAACTAATTACCAGGAAACTCCAAAAACTTAATATAAGAAAGTGAAAAGAAAAGTTTCTGTTCCAATAATTTTAATGTGGTGAATTTAGTTGAAATGGGTTGGGGGTTCAGTAAAAGGTGAAAGTACAGGAACAAAAAAATATTTCCTTTGTGCTGACGTTTCGACCCATATTTCAGGCTTAAATAAACACAAGATAATCCGTTATATTAACTACAAAAACTACTACTAAATGAATACTGAGATGTAAGTGAAAATTACATTGTATAAGATTAATTAAAATATGCAAATATTATTTATAATATCAATCCATGAAATTATATTTGAAATGTTACGATCAGTAGTGTGTATTTAAAAGTTGTAATTTTAGAGTATAATTGTCAGTTTGATAAATTTGATATATAAATAAATAATTTATATATATATATATATATATTTATATATATATATATATATATATATATATTTATATATATATATATATATATATATATATATATATATATATATATATATATATATATATATATATATATATATATATATATATATTACAAAGAATTAAATTTTTATTATTTGTATTGTTCATCATTTGTTTTTAACACATGTTCAGTTACTATTATCATGATTTGAGTGTAATTTATAGTAAGGGATTTGTGTGTTATTTAATTATTCTTTCAGAATAATAAAATCAGTTTTACAAAGTTACAAATTAAATTGCATGCAAATTGCTCACTAGATACTACAATCAAATTATGATAATTGTAACTGAACATGTGATATAAACATATTGATGAAAAATAAAGATAATAAAAATAATTTACATTACTATTTATATTATTAAATTAAAAAAACTGGTGTAAATGAAAACAATTTTTAAAAGTATTTCTCGATATAAGTTCGTCAAAATTAAGAAAAGCTTATAGCTATAAGCATTTAGGTGGTTCCTTGGTCGCTTATGCCTTAGCAAAAAAGATATTAGGATGGAAGTTGAGAGTAACAGTACAGTGGCTTCAAGAATCGACATATTAGTGATGGGTCTATCATTGGAAATTCTGGACAAAGTAGATAGGGAAGTAGTAGTTACGCTTGCAGAATTATTTACAGGATTAAGAAAACTTTATGATTTTTCCTACGAATATAATTTTTTTAGTTCTACTCTCCAACTTTTTTCAATCAACCACAAAAGATTTATTATCTATATTGCTATGAGGTGTTAAGAATGCATGTTTCTTAGGTTGCTGACTGTTTTTACTTGTTTTTTTTTTTGTTTTTTAAAACATTCTTCGGTGATGTGATTTCTTTTCTTCCATATTTTATAAAACTTGCTTTCTTTATTTTCTTCTTGTTTTTTACAGAATCTTGCAATGTGTCCAACCTTATTGCATTTAAAACATTTTCTCTCAGTTGTTTTAAATGCAACTTCCTTAGTTTTGTCTTCTGATCAAAATTTCTCTGCGAGAAGTCTACATGTCAGATGATCTAAATTTCTCTCTTCCATTGGTGTTGATTCCCAAGCTGTCACAAAATACTTGTATTCGTTTGGCAATGTGGACAAAATTTTTGATATAAGCATGTCATCGGAGATTGGTTGATCAATACGTTTTAACCTATACTGGATATTTTTTAAAGAACTAATATGAAAAGCCATGTCAATATCTTTTTTAAAATTATAGTTAAAAAATTCTCATAGTAATAAACATTTCTTTTGTTCATTTTCTCTACCATATATTTGGCATAATTTTTCGTACATTTCATTTGATGTTTTAGCACTCATTATGTGTGAGTATGCATGTTTTTCTATTGTTGAAACTATAATATGTTGTGCTCTTGCATCTTTTCTCTTCCATTCATTTTGAATTTTTTCTTCATCTGTTGTTGAAACTTTATTTCTCCCTGTGACTATTTCATCTAATGATTTTGCTTTAAATAAAATATCTATTTGAAATTTCCAAAGCTGAAAAGAATCGGTGTTGCCCAACTTTTCAATGAATTTGGTGTCTTGCGATTCTGACATTTTAAGTATACGTAAATAGAATTGTTAATCTTACCTTTTTAAGTTTTAATCAACCACTTAACCTCTTCTGTTTTTAATTTCACTTCACTACGTAACAATTTTACTTTCTATTACTTTTCTTAATTTGCAGAATGTCCTGGGCCCATAACCTGTTGATTTTATTAATGGTTTATGTTTTTTCTTATTAAGTATATAACATTAAATAAACCACAAGCCTTTTTTAAACTAAGCAAAATCAATCTTTATTAAACTAATAACACAAGTTCATAGAAAGAACAGGGTTATATCTAAAACATGTGTTTTATATATTTCCTTTTTTAAATTCATATAATCGATATAACATATGATTGATATTAATAAAATTACTTTTAACAAAAACAACCAGCAATCTGAACACATATGTAGTGAAGTAGAACTTTTCTTACAATCTAGTATCAGGTTTGGACTGAATATTCTGAGTTTGGATGCTATCACCAAATTGAAGCATATTCAAGAAGAAAATCTAGAAATATTACCAAGAGGTGAAAATAATGAATTGATAAAATGAGAAGATGTTAACAAAAAGTTTTACTAAAGAAGCTACATTAAAGTGAATTATTAATGAAGAAAAAAAAAAAGAAAATATAAAAGAATTATAACATAAACAAAAGAAGAATTGATAAAAATAGAAGAAGAGATCCATTTGAACGAAAGTTACTGCAGAGAGGAAGATGTGAATTATTTTTATCTTTATTGTCCATGACGTGTTAATATCACATATTAAGCTACAATTGTCATTATTCCAGTGTAATTTAATTATTATTTCATATTAATTAAATCAGATTTACCAACTTTCACATTTTAATATTACTTAATGAAAAATGTGTTTCAACGAAAGAATGGTAGAAAAAAGTCTTCCAGTATATAATAAACAAGAACAACCCTAAGTAGGTAGTACCTTCTCATAATTAAGAAGGTAGCTCATTTTAGATCAGAAGTCTCCAAAATATGGCCTCCAGGTTGGATTGGGCCCGCGAAAGTTTCTTTGATAAGATTTTAAAATTTAAAGAAATTATTTAAAAATATGAAATTTAACAAATTACTCACACATGAGGTTACTACATTTATTGCAGTTTTTTTTTTTTCTCTTAGAAAGTTTATTTGATAGCTGAAGTGGCACTTATGAAAGAAAATAATTTTTTTCGTCACTAGACATGGTCAGCGGGACTAAGGTGGAGGTATGAATGCTGAATTAGTCGAGATCTCGATGTGGCCCACGAGTCAAAAAGTTTGGAGACCCCTGTTTTAGATAATTTTTTCAAAACAAAATCATATTGTAATGGAGAGCTATGTAACTTTTTTTCCATGTGTCTAATTATGGAACAGTTGTGTTAAAAATTGTTCATAAGACTATAGACACGGTTGGTTCTTGATGGAGTCCAGATAAGAACAATAATTAAACTTAGAATTTCACATATACTTAAAAAATGATAGTGAACTTTGTCCTGAAACTCGGCTTTGTTCCTGAATTTCTTTTTATCAGTTTGTTTTCATAAGTGATTTAACCCAAACATGGTTGTATAGAAATTGAAGTTTACAAAATTTACTCTACAAGTTTTGTTAAAAATTCTTTTTTTTTCTTTTAACAACAATAAACAAGCTACAAAAAAGATCAATTTTTATACTTAATGAAAACGTTCTTGTATTTATTTTTAAGAAAGAATATTTAATTGATCTGAGAAGAAAGTAAGTTTAATAATACTTTTAGTTAAAATTATAGCAAATTTAATGTTAATAAGAAAATGAGAGATGAAAATATTAGCATTACTTGTCTCTCTCTTTTTTCTGATGTACTAATTCTGTTCCAGGTCTTAGATGAATGGAATAAAGCGGAACTTAATTCCTTCCTAATCGAAATTACCAGAGATATTCTCAAGTTTAAGGATTCAGATGGTAAGTAATAATACATTTCCTTTTTTTTGTGATAGATAATAATAATAGATTTATCCAATCAATATTTTAATTTCAGAAGCTAAATGAAAATCCGTTTTAAATCGAATTATTACCAAATAATTTAATAATTTTCAAAAATTTTAGGACAGTACCTTTTGGAGAAAATCCGTGATACTGCTGGGCAAAAAGGAACAGGAAAGTGGACTGCCATTGCAGCTCTTGAATTTGGTGTACCTGTAACTCTTATTGCAGAAAGTGTGTTTTCAAGGTACATTTGAATTATACTTATTAGCTTACATGAGGTTTTTAACTTATCAATTTATGAAATATACAGTAAGTTGTAGTATTGCAATCATTGAACATTTTGAATCCAAGTTTTATTATTCTTCTTTTTGCCAACCTTATTATTATTATTTTTTGTTTGTCTTTTTTTCTGACTGCTGTATGGTTATCCAGAGTAGCTTGAACATTTTTTGCAAGGCAGAGGACTTTACTCTGCTGCCTTTTCATATGTTCCTGTGAACCATTTCTTAGCCTTTCATTTCTCTTGAACACCTAATACATGCTGTTTCTTTTAGTCTCTATTACCTCCCAGTGTTGGACCACTGTGGCTCTCTGAGTTCTTCTTCTTTCTCTTCCTCCTTAGTGCCTTTCAGCGTGGAGGTACCTCTGTCCAGGCAAACCAAGCTTCTCGATCCCGAGCCTGCAGCGTCATGGCTTCCCAGTTTTTTCCTCTTCTCTCTCCCATTTTTGGAGATGTAGTCTGTCCATTGTTTTCTGGGTCTCCCTCTTTTGCATTTTCCTGTTGGTCTAGTCTCAAAATGTTTTCTTGGGTTCCTGTCTGCACTCGTTCGACAGAGATGCCCAAACCATCTGAGTTGTCTCTTTTCAATGGTGTCCTTTAAAGGGACAACTCCAACATCCTCTCATTCCGTATGCGATCCCTCCTAGTTCGGCCTGCCACCCTCGGAAGATATCTCTGTGCAGCGGAAGTAACTCTGCTTAAGTGCTTATCTAGTGGTACCCAGCTTTCAGTTCCTTAAAGGAGGGTAGGTAAGTATATAGCCTTGAAGATATGTACTATAACATTCTTCTCTACCTCCTGCTTCCTTATAACTGTGTTGCAGAGGTGGTGGTATATAGACTTTGTCTTCTTTATCCTATTGCATATTTCTTTTTCTACATTTCCATTCCTGCTGATCACTGTTCCTAATTGTATTCGTCCACTATTTCTATTGGTTCACCTTTGCAAAGTATTTCAATGTATCCCTGTTTCCAGTATATATGCATTATTTTGCTTTTCCTGGCATTGATGGTCATTCCCTTTCTTTCCAGCTCAGCTTCCCATTCAGTTACAGCTTGTTGTAAGTTCTCTTTAGTATCTGCCATAAGGACAATGTCATCCACAAATGCTATTACCTGGGCCAGGATTGTTCTCATATTCCATTTGCTATTAGGAGTGCCGGTTGTTGATAGTTCGTCGCAAGTATTTCATAAAAAAGGTTAGAATTTTCAACTAATAATTTTGAATTCTATCACTGTCTGGTGCTTTCCAATTTTTTATTTTCTTTGTTCCGATGACTAAATCTTCCATTAGTATCTCAAAATTAGGCATTTGAGGTGTCTCCTGAAGTTCACTTTTTACTGCTGTTGGCAAAGCATCAATTTTTTATACAGTTGTATTCTGTTTGCATAAACTGCAAGTTTTTGCTTTACCATATCAGGATGTAAAGTTAGTTTTTTGATAAGATCAGATTCTAACACAATTCCTGTTTGTAGTACAACTATTTCACCAATTCTTCTTCTTGTGTACATGCTCTAGCTGGATTCCTAATATAACTTGTAATCACTGCAATATTTGTTCTTGGCAAAGCTATTTTATTTTCTAATTTTCTCTGCCAGATGGGAAGGTTTGTATTGCCATTATCTTGGATTCCTTTTCTCTTAAGCTTAGTTCGATAATAACAACATAAACCAATGACAAACGGCTTGAATGTTCATTTCTGGGTAGAAAATAACAAGTTTACTATCAAGGCTTCTTTGATGTTTTTACAGTCCTATGTGATTTAAAGTTGTTAGAGAAGTATGATAGGAATGGTCTTACTTACATCATGTTTTATTCCTTCAAAAAACATATGCTGTGATAATAACGAGTGTATTACTTTTTAGTAATTAAGTATTATCTATTAATTTGACTGATGTCATCCCAGTCAAAAATTTAATAATTTTTTTTTTAATTTATAAATTTATGAAATAAAAAATTGACGTTGATGTGATTAGAGTTTAATTTAGCTTTGATTATCAGGTGTTTATCAAGCATGATTGGAGAAAGAGCTATTGCAAGTGAAAAATTATCAAATGATAAGAAACCGAGTTATTCTGGAGATAAAAAGGAATTTATTGAATTCATCCGTCAGGTGAGTGTTAAAATACCATATAAGTTATCTTATTGTTATCTCTAATATTAAAGAAAGATGTATTTTACTCACTAACCTATTGATCACTTTATCCCAAAAATGATAATACCTACGAAGATGAAATTTTAATTGGTAGTTCTTCCTCATGCTGTAATTGCTCCTCATGCTGATGTGCAAAGAAGCCTGAATTTGAAGAAAAAAAAATGTATTCTTAAGTGGTTAAAAAAATTATTTCATAATGCTAAAAATAAAGTCCCATTCTGGAACTTCTCATTAAATTTAGAAAACTTCCAAAGGTCTGCTGTTATGCCAAAAAGAAATAGAAATTTGTCTAAAAGAACACAACATAATTTTTGTTTTGTTAACAATAAATATTGCACTAATAACAGAAATTTGTTCAACTGACAAACAAACATTCAAGATACAAGATTATGAAACTTACAGAATCAATCATCCAGACTAGACAGCGCATGGAGTTTCAACCATCATCTTGGACAAATCTTTAAACTACCATTTAATTCCTGATGCCCTAACTAACTTTATTCAGTGTAGCAATATTTCTCTTCACTCCTAATTTCATTCAAAATTTGAGCTATTGGCTGCAGCATATATTGGCCCAGCGAAGTTGTCTATTAATCAGTTGAAGAATTTTTTCTCATCAATAGGAAAACATTTCTTAATAGGGGGACTTTAATGCTAAGAACTTAAAGTGGGGCTCTCGTCTACCAAGCACCTCTAGGTAAAAGACTACTAAGATGATAAACAAAATCTAGAACTTTCTATTATTGAAGGAAGTTCATTGAGTGTTCTACATACCATGGGTGATAAATATTTAGGATGCAGTCATTTTTAATGTCTTTATTAGTTCCGACGTTTCAACCCAAACATGTGGGTCATCATCAGGGCATGTTTTGAGCACTGAAGGTATTCAAGTCGATTCTCAAGTCACTTCAATACCTGATTGCTCGAAACACGCCCTCATGATGACCCCACATGTTTGGGTTGAAACGTCGGCACTAATAAAAACATTAAAAATGACTGCGCCCGTCTGAATATTTATCACCCATAAAACCTTCTATCATTTCCCCATATCTCAACATACATATTGATATACTTCTCAATCAAAATCTCCTGAACTTCTTGATTTATTTGTCACATGTTCTTTACCACCTCCACATCCAACATTTCCTCTCTTATAGATCTATCATTTGATCGAAGCCCAGTTTTACTTGAACTATCAAAACATCCTTTCGTAAAATCTAAATCACCGTCATTAATTAATGGCTATGTAAATTGGGACAACTTTAAAAACTACTTGAACAACAAAATTATGCTAAATACTTCCATCACTGCAGCCGACAAACTTGACAATACTTTTAACGACTTTACAGAACATATACACAGTGCGATCTGGTATTAACCGCTCCGAGGACATTAACCGAACCAGATTTCTATCTGCCTCAGCTTATATACACTCGTATAAAAGAAAAATGTAGACTAGACCTTTATGGAAGAGAACCAAATACCCATCATACAATCCAGTTTGTATCATACGTACCAAGCCCTCTTCTCTTCTATCTCAACAACTCTGATATCTCTTTTCGACTGTACAGGTTTTTTCCTGAGACAGAGGAGAGGGAGGAGGTTTAATGCTAAAGTTAACTCCCCTACCCAAGGCACGGCAAAATTTCATTTCCTGCTGTAACAATAAACAACCCAGCACTCAAAAAAAATATATATACTGTATCTCCACTCAGCTTACAAAACAAGCAACTAAATTACACCTCTATACTAAGACCTATTTGGTCTATGGAGCAGAACTTTATGTCCACATAAACAAAATTCAAATTTTACTATCCAAAATGCTTCATAAAATCATAAATGCATGGTTTATTTCAAATTACATTATACACATCGGCGTGAACATACCAACAGTAAAATTCTATATACATAAAAAATACACCACATTTCACCCTTCAACTGTTATTCATTCAAATTCTCTCCTCCTCTCCATTTCTACCTTTCTGTTACCAAGTCAGCCTGAATGAAGACTGAATAGGCTGTGGCCAAGAGATCTTCTGCTCACAATATAATATAAATAATTAGTGAGACAAAATAATTGACAACACATTTTCTTGCTTGATGCGTTGCAAATGCATTGTAAATTAAATAAATAAATAATGATAATGTCTGATATATCTGTTTTAAGTTTGCTTGCAATCATTAATTTGATCTATTCTTTCGTCAATCATAACTAATTGAATTAATATTAAGTATACTTAATTAAATTACTATAAAATGTTAAATAACGTTTTTTATTTATTTTATAATTTACCCTCATTTTATTTTTTCCTCTGCCTGGAGGTTTTGTTTTGTTACAATAATAAGAATTAAGTGTTTAAGGTTATATATATATTTATATATATTCATTATATATTCATATAATTCATTACATATACATACATATTCATATATACATACATATGAAAATACATACATATACAAATTTATACATAGTAAAGGGGCTGGGGTAGCCGTACGCGCTAAGGTGCTTGCAATAGTTCAAAGTTAAGCAATGTCGAGCGTGGTTAGTACTTGGATGGGTGACCGTCCACCAAGGAAAGCCATGCTGCCTGATTCTCTCTCCCCCATGGGTATGTGAGGCCCGTCAGCCTACTGGAGGCAACTCACACCAACCAGGCGTAGGACTGATGACCCTAGCCCGTGTACTTAAATCGGGAATTGGGATGTGGTTTACCAGGATGTTAATAGCCCCCCCTGAGATTCAGGACAGCCATTTTCGGGGAAAGATATATAGGTCCTCGTGCGCCTGCTGACTCCGAGCAGCCATAATCCATGGATCTAGACCGATTCGTCACTGTCCTTGAACCCGAGAAAGTCGGTGGGAAGGACATTGCCAAATTTGCCCCAAAGGGATCGGCTATGGAGCTACGGGTGGCCTGCCACTGTACCATGGAAACCATGGTTCATAGCAACGTGAGGTTGGGTGACCCCCTCCAGGCTATCTGAGCTTCCTCAAGTATCACACGTCTGTAAGGAGACCACGTCTAGAGCCAAAGATCTTCAAGGTCTGTAGTGTCAACCGAAGAAAAAAAAAAAAAATGAAGTAAAAGTAAAAATTGTATACAGTGTAACATAACATATGTATTTAAAACAATTAATTACCATGTATTTTCCAACCTTTGAATCTAATCTGTTAAATTTATATGTTTGTGTCACTTTCCATTTGCTTTTATGACTGAATATAATATCTCAAAATATTAATGATTCTAAGGAAAAAGGAATCTGATGGAAACATTTTGAGCTGTATTGAAAACATCTATCTCCAAACTTGTTGAAAACAGGAGTTATTATTAGTATATATGGTATATTATTAGGTTTATCTCTCCAACATTTTAATGAAAATATTTTTGATTTATGGGTAAGTGAAATATAACAGTTAAACCAGAGATATCAACTTAATCAAATACATATTGATAGATTAAATATGTATTTGATATAATATTAATTTGATATATTAAATACATATTAATTTTGATATATTAAATACATATTTATTAAATAATTTTTAAATTTTAATCTGCAATCAAAAAAACATTGGGCCGTAGTTTGGAGAACCTTGAGTTAAACTAATAATATAAAAGCCCTGTTCAGAGACATATTGGGTGTCTATAAATAGAAGAGGATTGGCAAAAGCAGGCGCTACTGGCTGTTTCTGTAGGACTTAGTTCCCAACCCTTATTTCTCCTTACTTAATGATCAATTTTTTTTTTTTGTTTAGATTTAGCAATTTTATATCAAAAGTTTCAATATGAAATGGTCAATTTATTTAAATAAACAAAATTAAAGGTACTTTAGAGGAAGAAATTTTAAATATTTGGCATATAAGCCCTGTAAGATTATTTCAATACTATTTGATTCTAGTCATGCCTGGTCGGCTAGCCTGGCGATCGCCAAGAGTCCCCTATCCCCTGACCTTTAATAAAGTCATTGTTTGGTCCCAAACATTATTGTTTTTTCTCCTTAGAATGATTGGGGGCCCTTCTGAGGGCACCAAAGATCATTGTTTTTTATTTATCAAGTATCGTTGTACGTTTAGCCTGCAAAAATAATAGTTTTGTATTCATTTAGTTCTGCAAATTTTTGGGGCTCCTCCAATCGTCCACCAACATAAATCATATTATCATAATACATCCTAAATCATGGAAAACAAGAAATCAATCTTTTGCAATAATTTATTGGAATAATTTTTTTCTGAAAACAAGGCTACTTTTAGGGGAAATGATGTGAAATAACATAATTTTTTTACAAAACGAGGTGAATCTCAAGTTTTCCCTAATAATCCTCAACTTGATTTATATCGACTTAAAGCTGATTAAACTGGAAAGTTTTTCTGAAAGTGGGTATCTGTGGAATAGTTGAGAGGATGATGAAAAAAATTACTAATAATTTTTGATTTGTTTAAAAATAGAACTTAGCTTAGTTTAGCCGCTCAAAAGTACTCTTTAAATGGTTTAAACAATAAGGTACTCTATCTTTATCTGTAGTAAATTTTGTCTATTTTACAGTTAAGCAATTGTTAATAACTTAAATGAAATATTGCTTTAGTTATTGCTTTCTATTCAACAAAAAGCATGACTAGCTTTAAAAAACACCAAACTTGGATTTTAAACTTTTCTACTGAAATTGTCCCGTTGTTCATATGACCTTTGTTGTAGTTCTTGAGGTCTGCTATCACTACTATATAAGCTTTCCTCTAACTAAGAAACACCCTGTATATACATTTGGATTGTGATTTGTGTTTTTTTAAGCATCACGTTTTTTGTTGAATAGGAAGCGATAACATAAAAAATATTTTATTTAACCATAGAACGACACCCTACAACATTTTCAATATTAATTTATTTTTATATAAGTAGCTCTTTGGCCAAGTTTTTTCATTTAAATAAACATCAAACATAGCCAGGCTAATTATAGTC